AAAAAAGAATATATACTTTAGTCCTAAAAAATCCTTTCTGTCCTTAGACTATGTATATTTTTCAGTACTAGGATATATTAAAATGGATTAAACATATTGGTTTTAGCTAAGATACTTTAATTAAAATTCATTAATGGGTTGTTATAGATAATGCCTGTCTCTTGAGGATAGATTGTCACTTAAGGATAATCAATCTTTACAAAATACTTACCAATATTAGCATAATGTTTCTTTTCTTGTGCGTTAGTAGATAGCTCATACATGTCTCCGTAAGCACGAACTAACCGCCAAATAAACTCTATTTCATCTCTAAACTGAAAAGATAGAACAATATATTAGATTAACTCAGTAACTTGACCAGACTGTAAATGCTTTCCACTGCAACTTTTAAAAAATTAGGCAGGTGAACTGATATTTATGGATGACTGAATCTATTCATGTGCATACATTTTAAATTCAAATACTCATGGCTACAAAATGTGATTTAATTTAGTGTTACATTTAGATCTTAAAACTAAGGAGTGTTACCCAGACATTAGCTCTACACCAACATATAAGAGAGAACTGATAGGTGCCAGAATCTGCGAGTTTTCCCTGGATTATAGTATCCTCTTTTTATTTTCCTTTCTAAGTTACCTACCTTCATTATAATGCCTCAGTGAGCATTAAAGATCACATATACTCAAAAGAGCAGTCACATTTTTTACCTACAAATATAATCATAATCCTTGTGTTTGGAGTTGCTAAATCCTCAGACAAAGGATTTAAGACTTAAATTGCTCATAGGAAAGAAAGATTGATTGCTCATTGGGATACTGAGAACTTTCTCCCTCCCTCCCTCCCTCCCTCCCTTCCTTCCTTCCTTATCTTCCCTTCTTTTCCTTCCTTCCTTTCTTTCCTTCTTTCTTTCTTTCTCTTTGGTGGTAGTAGTGGGAGGGATGGGCTTTCTCAATTCAGCCCAACGTTAAATGTTGAAAAATGACCATTAGTAGAAACACATTGAAACTGATGGCTGTTATTCTAATAACTCTAAGACAGTAAACTTAAAATGTGGCTTTTCCTGCCCCAACAGAAGCAGTAGGTCTTATTCTTTGTTATAAAGTACATATCAAATATGGCAAATTAATAATCAAATAAAAATAGATATGTATAATCATACCTCTGGTTCTCATTTTCATGATCTTAGAGCCTAATAAACTCTTATAATTTACTTTTTAAAAGTTTCAGTTAGATTATAGAAAAATTTGCATCAACCATTTAGCTTGTGTAAACTGTAACACAATGTTACAGTCATAACATGAATAGGACAGCAGATTAAATTAAAAATTAAAACTATACAAACATTATTGTCTCATATCTCTTACCTTTTCTTTGTGATCACAAAGTAGTTCAAAACTCTCCATTTTGCTACATTCATTCATACGTAAATTATCAGCCTTCTGAAGAAGGACATCTAAATTTAATTCCTCTATGTGTGTGTTAAATGCCTTAGGGACTGGAAAACTCTGTTCTTCTGTGTCAGTATTAGCTGTAATATACCTAAAATTCAGAAATAATAAATAATGATCAAATCTCTTGAAAGTTATGTTATAATAGGCAGAGTGATTCTTTTAAAATACAAGCCAGTATGCTATGAATACAAGAACAGATAAGCGACTGATGAAATAAGAGGCCAGAAGCAGATCTGTATATATATGGAGCTGTGGTGCATGATGGAGTTGGCCTGTCAGATCACTGGGAAAGTAAGGGAATGGCCAGGAAAAAAAATGGCTATTCCTATGGAAAACAATGAAATTGAATCTCTATCATATAATATTATAAAAATATCTCTGGATGATAAAAGGAATTAAGTGTTAAAAATAATTTTCTAAACTCTAAGTAGAAACTATAGGTGAATATCTTTCAGTCTTTGGAGAAAAATTTTTCTTTTTTCTTTTTTAAGATTCTATTTTTTTATTTGTCAGAGAGAGAGACAGAGCACAAACAGGGGGAACAGCAGGCAGAGGGAGAAGCAGGCTCCCTGCAGAGCAAGAAGCCCGATGTGGGACTTGATCCCAGGACCCTGGGATCATGACCTGAGCCGAAGGCAGACGCTTAACAAACTGAGCCACCCAGGCATCCAGGAGCAAAAAATTTTCTTAACCAAGATAGGAAAGCATTAACTATAAATGATTAATTATGAATGACTAATCAGTTTAACTATATTAAAATGAAAAACTGCTGCTAATCAAAAGACAATTTCAAAAATATAAGAACACAAATTAAAAACCAGGAATGGATGTTTTGCAACACACCCACATGGAGAACATTGATATCAAGAACACATAAATGCTTTCCTAAAATTAGGTAACAAAAGACGCGGTGAACTCAATAGAAATATGCTTGAGAGATATAAATAGGGTTTCTCAAATGAGAAAATACATATAGTCAATAAACATAAGAAAAGATGTTCAATGTTCACTAGCAATTACAGAAATACAAATAAAGACCACAGAGAGATATTATGTAAAAAGTCTGACAATACCAAATGCTGGGGATGAAGTTAATCCACAGGATCTGATGTGAATCCAAACTGGTGAACGCAGTTGGGAAAGCACTTTGGAGTTATCTTTTAATAGTGAACTTCCACATGCCCTAGGACCCAGTAACCCGGTCTCTTGCATATGTGCAAAAAAAGATATGTATAATAGAGACAGCAGTACTTTCAAATAGCAAACACCAGAAAACAACCTAAATGCCCACCAAAGAGTGAATGAATATTATACAACAGTCAAAATGAAAGAAATACAGTGATGTGCAAAACATGAAGGAATCTTAACAAACTTATTATTAAGTGGAAAAATAAGCTCTTAAAACTATATACAACACAATCCCCTTTCCATAAAAACAATCAAAATTAAATGTGCATCTTAAGGGATATACACACACCTGCAATAAAATGATATTATTAAAAAAGGAAGGAATGAACAATATAGATTATACACTCAGGGTAACCGTTACCTTCAGATGAGGGAAGGCAGGGGAGCCAAATGGTTTGATGAGGATTCTTGTCTAGGTCCTATCCTTTGTTTTAGGAGGTAGTTTCATGGATGCTTTTACATTATTCATAATAACTAGCTAAATGAATAAAAGTGGCACATGCATGGACCAGTCCTTAGAGTTTGTAAGAGCTAAAAGTAGTTTTTAATCCAATTCTACATACCTGAGATATAATAAGAAAATGATAAACAAAAGGAAGTAACTAGTTTAATATCAGACATAATATTCTTTAGAGCAAAAAGCATTAAATTTAAAGAGGGACACCAACACTAAATGGTTCAATTTATGATAAACAAAGAGCAGTTTTAGACTTCTATGCATCTAAAAACACAAGTCTCAGATACACAGAAAACAAAAATTAACATATACAAAGAGAAATTGAATCTACTATCAGAACGGGAGATTTTTAACACAACATTCTAAGTAATTGATAAAGTGTAAGAAAAGGTAAAGATACAATTTAAATGCCAAAATTAACAAGCTCAAATCCAACTAACATATATAGAACTAGACATTGAGCCCCTGGAAAACAATGTCGTATCTATGACATATCTATGAAAACAGCCACATACACAAGGCCACAAAGCAAGCCACAAATGGTAGCAATCTGTGGTGTAGAACATATTCTCTGTTCACAATGCAACTAAGTCAGAAATCACCACTAAAAAGTAGGTGAGAAAACCTCCAAAGTTAAAAATAATTGAAACATTTCCATCAACATGCCCACTAGAATGGCTAAAATGAAAAGACAAAAAATAACAAAAGTTGGTGAGGATGTGGAGCCAATGGAGCTCTTATATATAGCTGATGGGAGCATAAATTAGAACAACCACTTTGGAAATATGTTTGGCAATATATCCTAAGCTGGCATACACATACTCTATGGATCTAGTCATTTCATTCCTAGGTATATACACAAAAGAAATGTGTACAGATATTTATCCAATCATAATAGTCTATAATTGGAAGTACCAAATGCCTATTAGGAATAGGAAGTTTCCACATCAAAAACTAATGATGTGTTGTATGGTGACTAACATAACATAATAAAATTAAAAAAAAAAAAAGGAATAGGAAGCTTACATATTGTGGTATATTAACACAGTGGAAGAGTAGTTAGTAGTGAGGATAAATGGCCTTCAACCACACACAACAAAATGGATGAATATCACAAGCTAATATCAACTGAGAGAAGCTAGACACAAAGGAGTATGTAGTGTATTATTTCATTTAGATAAAGTCGAAACATAATTTTAACTAATGTATGCATTTGGAAATCAAGATGGGTTATCCTCTTGGTGCCAGGGAGTGACTGGATAACAGCATGTTGGGAATATCTGAGGTACTAATAATATTCTGTCTCTAAATCTGGGTGCTGACTTTACCACTGTATTCAGTTTGAAAATCCATCTGTGTACTTGTTATTTGTATGCTTTTCCACATGTACTCTGTATGTCATAAAGTTTAAAAAGAATTTTAAAAAGATATATCTCATACATAAGAGAATGTAAGAAAGAAAAGCAGAAGTCATTATTAACAGCATCAGGAATGAAACAAAGAACCATTGTTACTAAAGATAGAGCATAGATTTAAATAACAGACTATGATGAACAATTTTATGCTAATAAATTTAAACTTTGAAAGACAACCACCTAGAAAAATATAATTGGCTAAAACTGCTCAAGGAAAAGCCAATCAATTAGTCCAGAAAATGAAATAAAAAGTACCCAGATTGGAAAGAAGTAAAATTATCTCTAATCACATTTGACATCATCTTGTTCATATAAAATCCTAATAAATCCATAAAAAGCTATTAGAACTAATAAACAAGTTCAACAAGATTGCAAAATACAAGATCAACTTATAAAAGTAAATTGTATTTCTATACATTTATTAATGAACAATCCAAAGATGAAATGAAGAAAACAATTTCACTTACAATATTATTAAAAAAAATAAAATTCTGGGGCACCTGGCTGGCTTAGTCATTTGGGTGTCAGACTCATGATTTTGGCTCAGGTCATGATCTCATGGGTGGTGAGATCAAGCCCCGGGTCAGGTTCTGCGCTCAACAGGGAGTCTACTTGAGATTCTCTCCCTCTGCCCCTCTCCCACTCATGTGCATGCCCTTTCTCTCGCTCTCCCTTTCTCCCTTTCTCTAATAAATAAATACTCTTTTTAAAAAAGAATAAAATTCGGGACACCTGGGTGGCTCAGTCGTTAAGCATCTGCCTTCGGCTCAGGTCATGATCCCAGGGTCCTGGGATCGAGCCCCACATCAGGCTCCCTGCTCTGCGGGAAGCCTGCTTCTCCCACTTCCCCTACTTGTGTTCCCTCTCTCGCTGTGTCTCTCTCTGTCAAATAAATAAATAATATCTTTAAAAAAAAAAAAAGAATAAAATTCTTAGGATTGAATTTAGACAAATTTTTTTTTAAAATTTTTATTTATTTATTTGACAGAGAGAGAGATAGCGAGAGCAGGAACACAAGCATGGGGAGTGGGAGAGGGAGAAGCAGGCTTCCCGCCGAGCAAGGAGCCCGATGCGGGACTCGATCCCAGAACCCTGGGATCATGACCTGAGCCGAAGGCAGACGCCTAACGACTGAGCCACCCAGGCGCCCTTAGGATTGAATTTAACAAAATATGTGCAAGACTTATATACTGTAAACTATCAAACATTGCTGAAATTAAAGAATAGGATCTAAGTACATGAAGTTTCACGCGCATGAGTCAGAAGATTTAGTTATTATGATGGCAGCATTCTCCCAATTTATCTACAGATTCAAAGTAATTTCTATTAAATCTCTGCTGACAACATTTTCCCCCAGAAATTGACAAGCTGATCCTAAATTTCATGTGGAAATGCAAGGGACCCAATACAGCCAAAATAATGTTGTAAAAGAGGAAAAAAGTTACAGAATTCACACTTCCAGATTTCAAAATTTACTATAAAGCCACAGTAGTCAAGACAGTACTGGCATAAGGATGATAGACATATGGAATAGGGATTAAGGACCTATTAAGAATTTAGAGTCCAGAAATAAACCTTTATGTTTATGGTCAATTTGTTTTGACAAGAATACCAAGACAACTTAGTGGAGGATTACAATTTTATTTTCAACAAATGGTTCTGGGCCAAATAGATATCCACATGCATAAGAATGAAGGTGGGCCTTTACCTCACACCATATATAAACATTAACTCAAAATGGATCAAAACCCTAAATGTAAGAGCTAAAATTATAAAACTCTTAGAAGAAAACACAGGAGTAAACATTTGTGATCATGGACTAGGCAATGGTCTAGCACAGGTGACAAAAGAAAAAATAGATAAAATAGATTTTACAAAATTTTAAACTTTTGTGCTTAAAGGAAATTTTCTTCATCAAGAAAATGAAAAGATAATTCAAAAATGGAAGAAAATACTTACAAATCAAATATACTGACATATATCTAACAAGTACACTGACAAATATACTGATGTATATCTAACAAGTAT